CCTGGCTCGTGGTTCAGCTCTGATTCCATGGTGTCTTTTGCAATTCGAGCAAGGAGACACAAGGAGTAACCCCGGAGTAACCCCTGAACAACCTGGGACTAACCCCAGAGATAAGGAATTTACAGATGGAACGTGTTGAGCGCGGTTTTAGCTGGGAATTAACATGGCAACAGGATCAAGTGCCTGGATATGAGGCTGCTGATGGGTGTTGGGAGAGGAGCTGAGGGCTGTCCCTCATCGGGGGTTCGCTCCTGGTTGGGTCCTTTGGAGTGGTGGAGTCAGAGGGGTTGTTTTTAGGCAACTAAACCCACCTTGCCGTGGTTGAAGCTTCCCAAAAATCAAGCCTGATCCGGTATTTCTTGCCATCTCTGCAATGAGAACTTCACCTGGAGGTGGGAAGGTGGAACTCATCTGTGTCCCACCACTGGGCTCTTCTTGTTGTAAAGTTGAGCAAGCTTGGAAGAGGAAGTAGAAATCCCAGTTTTTCAGCACCTCACCTCTGCTTTTCCAAGGAAAAACCAGAACTTCTGAAGGACAACTTACCCTGCACTGAGGTTTCTGGAAGATGAGATCCCGTAACACGGGCTGGAAAAGGGCTTTAGACATCTCCTAAGCATCCGTATTTCCTTAATAAAATTTGATTGGTGCCTCATTAAAAATTTAATAATTTGCCCATTCGAATTAGCAACAGATGGGAGCTGGAAGGCAGCCAGGCTTCCTGGCCTCCAGACTGCAATTTCCTTGGCTTCATTCCCCTCCAAAGGAGTAATCTACATAGGAAAATCTATTTTTGTCAAGTGCTTGTTTCAAAGGGGGTGTTCTCCTCACAATTGTGCTTTCATTAGGATCCATCTCCAGGAATTCTTGCCGCGGCGCTTCCGTCTCCAGAGGAGGTGGGAGGTGCAAGTCCACCCCCTTTCCTGCATCGGTTTGGGGTTATATATTTATTAATCGGACTTTCTGAGTCCCTTTGAGGAGCGTCTTCTTCTGCTGCTTTTGATATCTTGATAAAATTTGAGTAAAAAAACCCAATATACGGTTATTTGGTAACTCACCTTTGCAAACGTGGCTTGTGGTTCTGTTCAGGCTGCTAAAAAAAAAAGGGTTTTTTTTATGAGATCCCATCACCTTTACACCTATTTCACTTCAAAATCAGTGCTTTCTTTTCCCCTCAAATCCTTCTTGCTGTTGATCTCGGTGACACCCACAGACCAAACTTCCCATTTCTCTTTCATCAGCATTAATTTTAAAGTTTGACTGTGCTCCCAGCTGCTCAAGAAACACAAATCAGAGGGAGCATTAAGATGGAAATAAGCAATTATTTTGCTAATTGGTCTTTTCCCAGGATTTCTTGTGTGTTTTCCAGGTGGGACAATTCTAGCCCAGGTTAAACTCTTCCCCTTTGCCTGTGGGTGCCTGTGGCTCGTTGTTCAGGTATAACCACCCCCCCCCCCATGACTTTTTGGTCGCTTCACACATCAAATCCAAATATTTCACTGCAAAGACAGCTGGGGGTTAATCCTGGAGCTGATGCAGGAGTTGGGTTCACAGGCAATCACTAATTACTGGACTCTCCAACCTCGAAATTCCCTCAGCAAATCTCAGCCAGACCAACACTTAACTTCCTCAGACAGTTCATGTGGAATTTTCTGGGTTAAAGGTCTTTTTTTTTCCAGCCACAGATCAAACACTTACACGAAATCACCTATTCCCAGCAGAAGGGAAAACCTTATTATTTCAGAATTTAGTTTCCTGCTGTGCCAATATCCCTAATCGAGGGTCAAACCCAACATTCCTCAGTGCAAGCAAAGCCCTTCAAAAATCCTTTTTTTTTTTTTTTTTTTGGTTTTAAGGGATGGGAGGATCCTGGTTGGGAATGGGAAACACACCAATTGCTTCTGCAGCATCTGGGGTTTTAAAGTTCAAACTGCCAGGGGATCTTTTAAGAGTTAAACTGAAGGAATTAATCGTGACCCAGAATGGTTTGGGTTGGAAGGACCTTAAAGAAGGTCCTTAAGGAAGGCAGGGACACCTCCCACTAGACTAGGTTGCTCCAAGCTGGCCTTGGACACTTCCAGAGGTGGATCTTTGCTCCTAAATAAAATAAAATTTGATTGCTTTGCTTCACAGAACAGGTGAAACTTCAGCCCTGAAACCACCTCTTCTTATTTTGAGTTCATTTTAGAGCCAACACAGGCCTGAAATTTCTCTTCTTTTCACCATTGCAGGGCTTTATTTTTATTTTTCCCCCTCAGAACTCATCGATTTGCACCCGAACGGCCGAGGAATCCTCGTGTTCCTGTCGGGATCTAACCCCTGGATGTGTTTTTTTTTCCCCCCCTTTTCCCAGATTATCGGACCGGGCCGTGCTTCAGCCAAGTGAACAACCAGATGTGCCAGGGCCAGCTCAGTGGCATCGTCTGCACCAAGACCATGTGTTGTGCCACCATCGGCCGGGCCTGGGGACACCCCTGTGAGATGTGTCCTGCCCAGCCCCATCCCTGCCGCCGGGGATTCATCCCGAATATCCGCACCGGAGCCTGCCAAGGTCGGTGCCATCGGGGATGTGCCCGGGCTGGGATAAGGGAGGGAGGAGGAGAGTGTGCCAGGGGAGCCAAAAGAGGGAATGCAGAGAATAGGGCAGCAAAATAGGGGACACGGAGGATAGGATATGAAAATAGAGCTCAAAAACGGGGAACACGGAGAACAGGGCCCCAAACAGGGAACATGGAGAACAGGGCCGCAAAACAGAGCCCTGATACAGGGAACATGGAGAACAGGGCCCCAAAACAAAGAATAAAGAAAACAGGACCCCAAAACAGAGCCCTAAAAGAGAGAACACAGAGAACAGGGTCCCAAAACAAAGAATACAGGGAACATGGAGAACAGGGCCGCAAAACAGGGCCCTGATACAGGGAACATGGAGAACAGGACCCCAAAACAGAGCCCTAAAAGAGAGAACACAGAGAACAGGGTCCCAAAACAAAGAATAAAGAGAACAGGACACCAAAACAGAGCCCTAAAAGAGAGAACACAGAGAACAGTGTCCCAAAATAAGAATACAGGGAACAGGGCCTCAAAATAGGGAACACGGAGAACAGGGTCCCAAAGCAGGGAACACAGATTACAGGGCCCCAAAACAGGGAACACAGAGAACAAAAGACAACAGGGCCTCAAAACAAAGAATATACGGAACAGGGACCCAAAACAGAGCCCTAAAAAAGGGAACATGGAGAACAGGACCCCAAAACAGAGCCCTAAAACAGAGAACATGGAGAATAGGACCCCAAAACAAAGAATACAGGGAATAGGGTCTCAAAACAGGGAACATAGAGAACAGGACACCAAAACAGGGAACACAGAGAACAAGGTCCCAAAACAGAGCCCTAAAACAGAGAACACAGAGAACAGGGTCCCAAAACAGAGAATACAGGGAACAGGGTCTCAGAACAGGGAACGCAGAGAACAGGGCCTCAAAACATAACACACAGAAAAGGGCCCCAAAACAGGGAACACAGAGAACAGGGCCCCAAAACAGAGAACTCTCTGTGTGACTTTGCTCAATCCGTCGTCGTGTCTCCCAGAGCAGCACCACAGACCTTGGATCTCCCATGGGATCATCCAGGATCATTTTAGGTCAAAGATTCTGGCCACAGTGCGGTTCTCCAACCTCCTCCACCCCACAAGAGGTGGTGAATCGAGGCTGGTGTTTCTCCAGGTTCAAAATTAAACCCCAGCCTTCCCCGGGGAACGAACCGCGGGGGGACGGACACGCGGGCGTTTGCTTTGGAAAGCATTCCCAGACTTTTGTCTCCTTCTTGCTTGTGTGGATGAGCCAGGAATACCATTTAGGACCATTTCCTGTCCTTCACCTTATCTCTGAGGGGGTTTCTGAAACGTGATCTTGGAGCAGAGCTTTCCCCTCCCGGCCCTCCCACGTGGATCCGTGGGACGGCCGCGCTTCCTCACGTCCCTGCTCTTCTTCCCACAGATGTGGATGAGTGCCAAGCCATCCCTGGCCTCTGCCAAGGTGGGAATTGCATCAACACCGTGGGTTCCTACGAGTGCAAGTGCCCTGCAGGACACAAGCAGAGCGAGACCAGCCACAGGTGTGAAGGTAAGGAAAGCTCGGACCTGAAGGATGCTCAGATTCCCAACATCCTGAGAGCACAAGGGAGTGGAAATTTCGAGGATCTCTCTGCTCACGGGGCACTTCCAAGTAAAGATGGGAGAGATTTCCCATGCCAGGCTTGATCCCGCCTCCCAGACAGGGCAAAATGAGCGTTTTAATCTGTTTGTTTGGTTCCCAGAGCCCCAAGGCAAGGAAAGGAGGAGCAGGGCTTGCCTGATCTTCTCTTAAACCAGAAAGAAGGGGGTTGGATTTTTCAGGCAGGTGTTTTCTGAAGGATATTTAATGGCAACACAGAGTGACTGGACAGAAGGGATCTCTGGAAGGCTTTAGGTCTCTGCTTAGCTCAGGGGATGCCTTCAAAGCTCAGTCTGATCAAGCTTTGAAAACTCAAAGCCTTTTCTTTTGAGGCTCTTCGTGTGAGGTGTGAGAATTTAACAATTGCCAGGCTGGTTGTGGTAGTTAAGGGAGAACTCTGAAAGTTTTCTGGGAGCCCCTGGAACTGCTCTTTGCTCCTGGGCTTGGGGTGAGTTGGTCCAGTGTATGCCTCAGATAAATTTTGGGCTCACCTAGACCGGGACACACAGTTCTGTGGGAAAACATGGATGGAGCATGTTGGGACCGAGTCCCACCTTGCTGGATCCCTCAGGAGCTCCCCCTCCCTCTCATTCCTCTCCAAGGCTCTGCTGTAACCAAGACAAGAGGTGAGGAATGCACTGAAATCCAGACCTTCAACATGGAATTTGTGTGGCAAAGCTACACAGGGAGAGCACTTAGAGCATTCCTGACAGCATTCCTTGTCTCAGAAGGGTTTCTTCCAAGCCATTTTTTTCCAGGAAAGGAGCATCACTGCTCCCAGGGGATTGTTCCCATACTCCCACCTTCCTGTAATCCAGGAATTTTCCTTGCTGGGATAATTCTAATAGTCTCCAGTGCCCAGAGAAGCTGTGGTTGCCCCATCCCTGGAAGTGTCCAATGCCAGGTTGGAGCAACCTGGGCTAGTGGAAGGTGTCCCTGCCCGTGGCAGGGGGTGGAACTGGATGATCTTTATGGTTTCTCCCAACCCAAACCAGTCTGTGATTCCAGGATTCTATGACCTGGGTTCAGCCCCTCAGAAAATCTTTTCCCAGAGTGGAACACCAAGCTCCAGAGGTCAATCCTTGGATTGGGGGATGGACCTTCTTTTATCTCCAGAAGACATCTGTGCCTGTGGATCTTCCCTGGCAGGATGCCACGAGACTTTCCCTAAAATTCCAACAGTAAAGGGGGTTTCTTGCAGTGCTCTGACACCCAAGGACCTGAAACCAGGAGGGTCCAGCCCAGCCTTTTGATCCATGTCTGGGGTGAAGGACCCGAATCCGAGGGTGTCCCGCGGAATTTCTCTGCCCTGCCCTGGAACTGTGGGCAACAAAAAGTCATTCTTGTCCTTGCTCTGCCTCACCCACGCTGGCTGGGGAGCAGGCAGAGAGCATCTGCAATCAGTTTAGCTGGAATCTTTGAGATTAAAACCAATCCATTGTCTGGGTCTGTCGTCCAGATGCTGAGGGGCCCCCAGCGCCTGCCAAAGCAGCACCATGTGGCCATAAACAGCTGCCTTTCACTCTCCTTCCTGCATGGCCATAAAAAGAGACATCTCCAGCATCCACAGGGTTCTGTTCCATCACTTATCTTGCCTTGGTTGCTAAGGAGACCACGGAAAGAGGAGGCTTTGCTTGGGTGGGATTGAGGGATCTGGGACTCCTTCTGTGGGAATGACATAAACAGGAGGGATGCTCTAAAGGGATGGGGTTGGGGTTGCTTAGGAGGGCTTGTTTCTCACATGGGAATCACCAGCATGTCCCAATCAGGATGATCACAGAACTGTGGGATCACCTTTGCTGGGGCATCACTGCTCCCCTCTAGGAATGTGCCCCGTGATTCCCTAAAATGATGTGAATAAGGGAACAGAGAGGCAGCATCGTGTCTGCTGCTCACACTTGATAAATTTAGGAAGAGCTGAGCCCCTCTCAGAGTTTGCTGAGTGCTTTGGTACGTCAGGGAGTCGAGAATCAAAGCTGAGGTTCCAGTTTGAGGATCCCAATTCCCGACCTGCTGCCAAAAATCTCCATCCGCGGCCCCTCCTCCCCGAGCCAAGGCTGAGAACCAAAATAACAACCACAGGCAGAAAGGGACAGATTTATTCTTCACCCAGGTGTGCTCCAGGCCTAAAATCTCCATACTGGAGCAGTTCCCTTGTTGAGTCCCTGGGTTAATTTTAGAGCTGGTGAAAGGAGGGATTTTTCCATGTGCACTGAGCCCTTCTTGCTTTAGGAAGGGAAGATGCTTCCCTCTCGCTTTCAGGTTTCCTCATCCAAGCCCCAGCACCCAGAAAATATCAAAACTAGATGGTAAATTCTTCCCTGATTCCCAGGAGCTTGTATTTTGTGCTCGGGAAGGTTCCTCCTGGGGGGCTGAAGTCAGCAGATGGGATTGTGCTGGAGCCAAAGGTCAGAGCCCGGTGTCACCAGGGCTGCTGATTAATGATGTCTCCCTAATTAACAGCAGCAGCATGTGCCACTAATCTCCTCAGGGCTGTTTGTTGGTGGGAACAGGCAGGAGGAGAGATAATGTTGGGGCTTTCCCATCAGTGATACTTATCTCTTAACACAAAAGGCACCTGGAGATGGGGGCTCTGCTTTCAGTCCCCGAATCCCTGAAGAATAAAGCTGCTTTCCTTGTGTGGAATAAAGATATTCCAGGCTGATAGTGGAGGCCCTGAGCTCCCAGGAGGCTGCAGCTGGATTTTTGGGCCTGGATTTTGGTCAGCTCCAGAAGGAAAACGAGGTTCCTTTTTTTTCTCTCTGCTCGGATTTGGACCTGAATATCCTCCAAGTTCAGGGTTGCTCAGTTCCAGGCTTGTTTCTGCAGCTCATCCCTGATGAATGTGACACTGCTGTGATTCCTTTTGTTCACTGTATTCCCAGGGAACTGGAGGGATCAGGAATTCCTGAGCTTGGGGCTGTGCAATGTCTAAGGAAAACTTGAGTTTCTGAGGGATATGAGCAGCCTGTGAAACGTGGAATTCATGGGGGTTGGAGTTGGGGTGGATTTAGGGTGGGGAGGGGTCAGGCTGCTCCCTAAAGCAAGGCTGGAGACAAACCATAGCACCCAAAACCAGGTTTATATTGCCCAAAAAGATCAGCAAGGAGGGCAGAAGTTGCCAGTTTAGGGCTGAATTAATAGATCCTATGCCTGGCTGATGGGGAAAAAAAGGGGGAAAAAAAGCAGGATTTGTGGAGGTTTGTAGGGGAGGGAGAAATGGGGGAGCCTGGAGAAAAGCTCATGGTTTTACCCAGCTGAGTAAAATCGTTGAGGAGGATGCAAGAAAACCCTCCTGGTGCAAAATGGAGAGAGGAAAACATCAAAGCTGAGCTCAGCCCCATCCTCCTGATGCAAAGCCCTCGATCCATAAATCACAGGGAAGTGGGGGGGTTGTTACAAGCAGTGACATTTTTAAATTATCCTGGAAAAGCGGCCGTAAAAATCGCACCGAAGGGAACGGCTCCGTGGTGTGCAGTTAAAGGGTGGAATCACTGGCTGAACAAAGCTTTTCCTGCCACAATTCCAGTGTTCCCCTGCCAAGAATTTTAACTTTCTAATAGCCCTTCCTGTGCTGGATGACAGAATGCCAGGCCAGCTCTGCTATCAGTGAGGCAAGGCCAGGATGCTTCCAAAGGGAATGTCTCGCGTCCCGAATTGTTCCAGGGTGATGACATCCCAAAAAAACACAGGGAGAAACACCAGGGAAGGGAGAGGAAGGCTCTGCACGCTGTGTGCAACAAGCTCTGTTCAAATCCCTCCAGCAGAAGTCCTTTTTGACCACTCTTGGCCTCTCCAGGAGGTTTTGCTGGGGCAGAACGAAGCCTTTAATTACAAATATCACCAATTTTTGCTCACCCCTTTCTATTTAGATGTTACTTATGTCCCTCTTTTGTCACCAGGGGCACAAAATCCCGTGTTTTCTGATGAACACAAGGCTCTATTTTTCACTCTGTCCAATCTCATCCCTGTTTCTGGAGAGGGGAGAGGGATCTTTTCCACGAGCTCGGCTGGAACTCGAGAGCCGCTTTATTAGTCCCATTTTCAACCTTCCTGCAAAACTCCTACAGAAGAGCTCATTGTTTTGGCCCCATTAAAAGCTCATTTCCACGGATTTGGGGTGGTTTGGAGGGTTCCATTCCTCTCCTCTGTGGTTTCTTTGTGCTTTCTGGGAGGGGAGGTCTCAGAGTCCCGTGAGTTGCTGTCGAGGCCTGACCTCTCTGCTACGTGACAGGGGGATGTTTTCTCCATCAAGACCTGGGGTTTTTTTTTAGCAGATGGAGAAATTGGGGTTTCAACATGTCTGTGGGCACTGTGTTGGATGGGCTTTGCAGCCTCCAGCTCCTTCTGGAGCTCTGTAGCCTTTGGCTCCCAGAGTTTTCAGCCGTAAGGATCAGGCTCCGACTCCAAGCCAGAGGTGGAGAGCAGATCCAAAATCAACGTTTGCCTTGAATCCTGCCATTGTCTGCACAGCAGAGCAGGCAGAATGTTGCTTTAATTTTTAACAGAGGGCTGGAAAAGTGGTGGAGGAGCCAGGCTGGAGCTGGAAGGGTTCCCTGCCCAACGCCGGGTGTTAATGGGAGGTGGATGTACCCGTGTCAGGCTCTCCCTGGCTCAATGAATCCAAACCAACTTTACAAAGGGAAAACCAAGAAGGCAAAAAATTGTGTGGTGGGGGAAGAACTGAAAGAACAACAAAGCCCAGAGCTCAGGTTCTCAAAGCACAGGATGTGCAAGGCTTGAGGAACGGCCTCTTTTCCTGCTCCTTGGGTTGCTGCTCTGGCCCGGGCTGGGATTTTCAGGGAGGGAAAAAAAAATTGCAGTTGGATTTAACCTCTTGAATTCACTGTTTTTCCTCAAGAATGGAGTGGATTTGCTGCCCACACACCCCTCTGGATGACTGGCTGTGTTGTAGGTATCGATCTGGCCCCCAGCCCTCTGATGCAACAACTTTCCCAGCGCTACACACGAGTATTAAACTGGTTTTTTTCACTAATAGTACAACCAGCTTCTGCTCCACAAAGCTCTTTTCCTTCCAGTGCTCTGTGAATTGTAACCCAAGGCAGGGCTGTAATTAAATGACAGGGCAGGCTGGAGTGATAAAATCTCTTTTTCACTGCAGGGGCCCAGGTGGGGGAAGTGTTTTCTGTCCTTTTGCTTTGCTGCCTTGGCAGGTTTGAGTCCTTTCTGTCTCTCCCAGGGGCTCTGAGCATCAAAGAGCCAGAGGAGCACGGGAAGGGCTCAGGGGATCTCTCAGGTGGTGGCTGAAAGCAGAATTTTAGTCCTAAAAAGCCACGCAGGGAAGTGTCTTCCCGTTTTTAGTAGAATAGAATCATAGGATCACAGAAGAGAACCACAGAATGAAATCATGGAATATCCTGTGTGCGAAAGGATCCATGAGGATCATCCAGTCCAACTCCTGGCCCTGCCCAGGACACCCCAACAATCCCACCCTGGCCCTGAGGGGGTTGTCCAAACACTCCTGGAGCTCTGGCAGCCTTGGGAAGTGACCATTCCATGGGCAGCCTCTGGGGGAAGAACCTTTTCCCTAATTCCAGGTTATATTGTGGATAACCCGCCCTGTGCACTCGGGTTTGATTTTGTGGCTGTTGAAATCGAGGTTTCACTTGGTCCCTCCTGTCAAAGCTGCAGCCAAAGTAAAACAAGTTGTGTTTGTGACAGGTTGGGTGAGAAAGGTTGTTCCTCTGGCCACATGGAGCTCCCACTGGTGGGAATCTTTAAATCCAAGTTGGAATTTCGAGTGTCTCAGTTTTAATTTTTATATTCTGTTGGGACTGCAGAGCACTGTGCCCTCAGCATCATGGAATCATGGAACGGGTTGGGTTGAAAGGACCTTAAATATTGTTGGATTCCACCCCCTGCCATGGGCGGGGACACCTCCCACTATCCCAGGTGGCTCCAACCTGGCCTTGGACACTTCCAGGGATGGGGCAGCCACAGTTTCTCTGGGAAATCCATCCCAGCCCCTCCCCACCTTCCCAGGGAAGAATTCCTTCCCAATATCCCATCTAACCCTGCCCTCTGGCAGTTTGAACCCATTCCCCTCTTGTGCTGTCACAACAGCTGCTGCTAAAAAGTGCAGGAACTTCAGGAAGAGCTGATTGTGCCTGGAAATGGGAATAACAACCAACATCAGCTCAGCTACGGGGAATCCCAAACTGATTTGGGATGGTTGGGACTTTAAAGCTCCTCCAGTTCCACCCCCTGCCATGGGCAGGGACACTTCCCAGTGGATCAGGAGAAGATCAGAGCAGGATTAAACATCTCCTGCATTTCTCCCTCCCACCTTCAGGGCTGCACTGGCACCTGCAGCCACTGCAGGGCACTGTGGGATCGCGATTCCCTTCCCAGCTCCAGCATTCCTCACTTTCCCACCGGACAAGGACCCGAGTCACCTCCCCTCGGGGTCACCCACATTATTTTCCCCAGGGAAATTTCCCTCCCCTTTCTCGTATCCATCCTCACACCCAGGAGTTCTGGCTCCCAGGTGACCCTTTCCCAGAAAATCTGGTGGATGAGCTTTTCCAAAAATCTCCTCGACCCCTCTCCCACACGAGGGGTCTTTGCTGTTGTGTCTTTTTTTTTTTTTTTTTGGTAGTTTTTTTTGCAGATTAGTCTTTTTCTTTTTTAGTTTAGTTTTTTTTAGTTTAGTTCTTTTCTTTTTGCACATTACTCTTTTTTTTAGATTAGTCTTTTTTTTTGCACATTACTCTTTTTTTTTAGAGTAGTCTTTTTTTTTGCAGATTAGTCTTCCTTTTTTTTTGTAGATTAGTCTTTTTTTTAGATTAGTCTTTTTTTTAGATTAGGGGTTTTTTTGCACATTACTTTTTTCTTTTAGATTAGTTTTTTTTTTTTGCACATTACTTTTTTTTTAGATTAGTCTTTTTTTTTTTTTTGCTCATTACTCTTTTTTTTTTAGATTGGTCTTTTTTTTTTTACAGATCAGTCTTTGCCCTGCAGCACCTCCAGCTCCACACATGTTAATGCCATCAGGCCACTCTTCCCAGTGGAAAAATTCCCTCCTCCAAGGACCAAACTCTGACCAGTTCCTTCCTGCCAGCCCCAGGCAGCAGAGAAAAAGCCCCTTATCCATTCACAACAGCACCACAGGTTTTAGGATGTCATAAATAATGTTGTTTAGCAGAAATAATTCATTTTACCAGTGGGTTTGAGGTTTGGGTTTTTTGCCACTGTAAAAACCATCAGGTGAAATATTCCTTCTGTCTTTTACCACCAACTAACTGCTTTGGGGGGATTAATTAATTAATGAAAGGTTGAATCTGATTCCAGCTCAGTTCCTGAAGCACATTTCAGTTGCCAATTAAAAAAAAAAATCATAAAATCATTGAATCATTAAGGAAAAAAAACCCATTATTGAGTCAAACCAAAGATGGCCAAAACTCCAACTCTTGCTTCCAGACAATCCTTGGAGCCAAGTGACCCCCAAGCCTTGGGCATTTAATTATATTGATGAAAAATTGAAATGAAACCCTTCGTGGGAGAGACTCCATGAGAGTCCATGAAACCCTCAGTCTTGTGGAGACTCCATGAAATCCTTGGTGGGAGAGACTCCATGAGAGTCCATGAAACCCTCAGTATGGGAGAGTCCTGTGGAGACTCCATGAAACCCTGAGTCTTGTGGAGACTCCATGAACCCTTCAGTGTGGGAGAGTCTCCATGAGATTCCATGGATCCCTCAGTGTGGGAGAGTCCTGTGGAGACTCCATGAAACCCTCAGTCTTGTGGAGACTCCATGAACCCCTCAGTGTGAGAGAATCTTGTTGGAACTCCATGAAATCCTTGATGTGGGAGAGTCTTGGAGACTCCATGAACCCCTCGGTGTGGGAGAGGCCTATGGAGACTCCATGAACCCCTCGATGTGGGAGAGACTCCATGAATCCCTCAGTGTGGGAGAGTCTCCATGAACCCCTCGATGTGGGAGAGACTCCATGAACCCCTCAGTATGGGAGAGTCTCCATGAACCCCTCAGTGTGGGAGAGACTCCATGAACCCCTCAGTGTGGGAGA